GAATATCCAGATGCTTCAGTTACTCATCAAACGAGGCTCAAGGATCGATGTCCAGGATAAGGTCATAATTCTGTATTATTAAAAACAAATTCTTATCATGGGTTCCCCGCTGTCTTCCTAATCAGATGGGCAGTAAGTGGGAGAGCGTGTATACTTTTGTGATTTCCTATATGGCGCTGCATAGAGAGCCTTGCACAGGCTGACAAGTCCTGGGCAAAGGTGCTCACATTTCCCCCTTCAGGCTCTGCCCCTTTCTCGTGCCTTATGCTTTGCAGATCACATTTACTCAGCAGTGTTACAAGTAATACCTGGAAAAGTGTTTACTGTGTAGTTAATGTAATCAGAAATTCATTAGCCTGTGTGTGCATCACGAATCTGGATATGGACACACATCCTAGTGTAAACAGCGTTGTAAAGGCAGACGTCATTCAGTGACAGCTGATGATCACGACCACGGAGCTCTCATCAGCTGCCATAAAAACTCTAGTTTGTCCCGGAGAGCCATGAGCTCCATCCCTGATCTGACCAAAGGCGGACTGAGAGTGTGTGTGGGAGGGGGCAATAAATTGCAGAATGTGTTTCTTCTCACTGTTTTCTAGATGCTGAAGCATAGCAACTGTTCCCATGGTGTTTCAGCTGTATCAGGTGTTAGGAGTAAGTCAGAGGTGATTAGGGTGCATTGGAGGATGTGCCGGTTCTGTGCAAGCTACATCATTTTGTAGAAGCGACTTGCACACCCATGAATTTTTTCTTTTGGTACCTGTGTGGAGGATTGGATTGGAATCAGTCCCCTGTGGATACTGAGGGTACGGTTAGGAGATCTAGCTAGAGGTTGGTATTGAAAAGGCTTCAAAAAAGAAAAAAGAAAGTTTTGTTTTTACTTTGAAAACTTGCAAAGATAACACAGAGACCCTCTTTCAGCTTCCCACTGAGCCTCCCCTGCTGTTAATGTGGTACATGACCATGGTATAATTACCAACGCCTTGAAACCGAGAAGAGGCTCCTCTGGGATTTGTTACACCACAAGAAGGGAAGCCCTGTGATTCTAATGGGTGCATGGTCCAGGAGTTCTGGATGTGACTCTGCATTGCTTTCCCTGCAGGGAGGATCCAATGCCATCTACTGGGCCTCTCGGCATGGTCACGTGGATACTCTGAAATTTCTCAATGAGAACAAATGCCCTTTGGATGTTAAAGACAAGGTAAGACCGTGCATCTTAAGAGAAACAAGAGGAATTGGGCTACATTGAGTGTTGGCCTGCTTGGTACACCAGAACCCAAAGATAAAGATTGAGGACCACATTCTGCAGCAGGGGATTTAAAGTTAAAGGCTCTTTTTTGTTGTTGTTGTTGTTCTTTTGACTGTGTCTTGGCCCAATATTTAAATCTGAGTTTCTACCTTAGATGCTTCTAACTATTGTTAGGCTTTTGGGGAAACAAAGTATTTAAAGTTGTATGTTGGAGCAAAGTTCACCTCCTGTCAGCAAGGAAGGAGGGAGACAGAGACAAAGAGAGACATCCTCAATGTCTCCTTTATTGTAACCTAACTTCCATTAGCCCCCACCTACTAAAGTTCTATCACTCAAAGCCAGGGGACCAAGATTTTTGCACACGGCCTTCTATGAGTGACTAAGATCTGGACAGCAGCAAAGGAATCCATCACCGCAGTTTGCTGCCAGTTGACAGTAATGTTTTCTGTAGTTAGGGTAGCGTGACCCTGGCAGGTGCAGACACAAGCAAAGCATCATAAGTTATATTTGTTATTCACAGAAATATACCAGGAGCAAATGGCTGTGTTCTCTAAAATCTCGGAGAATGCAATAAATGAGTCTCTGAGCACAAATAAGGCAATGAAAGGAGAAAGTAGTTAATAATTTAATTAAAAAGCTACACATTTAAATAATTGCAGAATGATGAGCCTGACCTTAAAGGGGTTTGTGCGTGTGTACAAGAGTGGGGGAAGGGAGAGTCTTAGTTTCAAGTTGAGCTGCTGAAGTTGTCTGTCCATGAAGGAGGTAAAACATGGCGCTCACAGTAACGGGAACATAGTCTCACCGAGTTGTTTTTAGTGACGAGATGAACCAGATCTGAGTGTGCAGCCCTTGCTGCCTAGGGGCTGCCTGACCCCAGGTCCTGCCCTTCATCTCTGGGTAGCAAATGGAAGGCACGGTCTCTTGAGCGGTTCTGAGTTCTGGTCTTCTTTTGCAGTCTGGAGAGACAGCCCTTCATGTGGCAGCCCGATACGGACACGCGGATGTGGTGCAGCTTCTCTGCAGCTTCGGTTCTAACCCTGATTTCCAGGACAAGGTAGGTCAGTTTCCTGCCATCCACTGCAGAGCACAGGTTCTCAGACAGCACCCTGCACCCAGCTCCCCGTCTAACTTCTTCATTCACCTGTTCTAATCCCCGGGACAGCCTGATATCAGTATCCTTGCTTTATAGGGACGGAAATCACACAGCAAGTTCCACAGCCTGCTCAAGCTGTCTGTGGTGGGACCAGGGATTGAACCCTGCCAAGTCTGGGTTTCAGAGTTCTGTTTGTAAGCACTTCTTTCTCACGGAACCTTGTAGACAGATGTGTTTGATAACGCTGATGGAAGTGCAAACCTTCCACCACCCCCACACATGCCCAAGCTTTGAGGCCAGTGCTTCCTGGACTAGTTACAGAGATGTCATCAAGCTACCTCACAGAATGCTCCCCTGAGCCATCCTGAAGTTAGGTACCTGGCAAAAATCAAAGCCCTGAAATTGCTGGGACTCCTGCTCAGAGGAGAGCTTTCCTGCTAGTTTCAGAGACAAATAAAGAAGAGCAGCTTTGCCAGAAGGTATTCTGAGTTCACCCACGCAAAAGTCTTGCTCTTCAGGGACCTCTAATATGCTGAGAAAGCCAAGTTCACTTAGCACTCCTGCCGAGGGGACAGACTGACCAGGGAAAGCCCTGGGTCTGCCTCTTAACGGCAGCGGCTCCCGCTGGTGTCGTTATCTCAGATTAATTTTTTGCCCCATTGACTGCAGTCTCTGTCCTCCGTGGCCTTGATGTTGCTGCCATCTGCATTTTCCTTCTCTGTACCCATGTCCTTGAGCAGGAAGAAGAAACCCCCCTACACTGCGCTGCCTGGCATGGCTATTACTCCGTGGCCAAAGCCCTCTGTGAAGTTGGCTGCAATGTGAATATCAAGAACCGGGAGGGAGAGACCCCGCTGCTGACAGCTTCTGCCAGGGGCTATCATGATATCGTGGAGTGTCTGGTTGGACATGGAGCTGACCTGAATGCCTCTGACAAGGTACTTTTTTGGGGGTAACTACGTGGCACTCACTGTGATCTGATGGGGTAGAGGGACCAAGACACTTGCCTACTTGAACTTAGTATACTGTGATTTCGTTTCTTTGATTACAAAAATTTCTGGAATTTTCTAGAATCTTCTTTTTGATGTGTAACTAAACTTATGGCTTGAGCAAGCCAGTTTGGCCACTGTTTCAATCTTTTTAACTTTGGTTAACTGTGGAACAGGGACCACATTGTCAAATTTTAGATACATGTTGAAATGGGTGTTTATTTTGTCACTTACTCTTTTGTAAAAAGGCAATAAATCACTATTATTTGTTTTACAATTTCACTTTTAGACCAGCTGGTCTCTTTTTACCTAAGCAAATTCAACACAATCTATTTGAACTTGAACTTAAACAGATACAGTAACAGTACTGTGTACAGTTAGACTGAGGGTCTTATAGTTCATGTAGCAATTGTTTTTTGGGGGCAGTGCCTTGGTACAGTCTCAGTTGGACACAGCTGTGTCCCCAGGGGACTTTATAGAAATATCTGGAGACATATTTTCATTACCAAACTTGGGCTGGGTATTTGCTACTGGAATCTGTTAGATGGAGCTAGTGTTTCTTCTAGACAATCAAAAGTCCCAATGCCAAGAGTGCTGAGTGGAGAAACTCAGGCAGAGGCAATAGAGATGGGGCCCCAAGCTCTGTTTCTCAACAGTGCTCAGCACATCTATTCCCCAGGGATTCTGTACTATTTCCCAGGGATCCTGTACCAGGGTGCTATTAATTCCCTGGCCGGGTTCTTGCATCTGCTTTCTGAGCTTTCAACAGCCCTGGGGGGAATTATTTCTCTCTCTCTCTCTCTCTCTCTCTCTCTTTCTCCTGAGGCAAAAGCTTTTAGAGCCTGTCCTGGAAACTCACAGAGATCCGCCTGCCTCTGCCTCCCAAGTGCTGGGATTACGTGTGCCACCACTAGTGGTGTTTCTCACATCTGCTCACAAGGGCAATTGGCACCTACTAGTTACAGCCTACCAGTGCTAAGACAGGTGCAGAATCTTGCTGTCTGACCTTCTCTCTGAGCCTAAATGAATCGGCAGGTGTTCAGCTCAGCTCCAGTTATGCGGAGTGAAATGGATGAAGCCCCGCTTTCCAGGGTCCAGGCAATGACTCTGAAGTTCTCTTGTGTTTGAAGCCACCCTGTTTCCAGCTAAGCCTCGCACAGGGGAGAGAGAGGGCCGAGGGTGGAAACCAGAGCACTCACGGGCTTGGGCTTGGTTCCAGGATGGACACATTGCCCTTCATCTCGCGGTGAGGCGCTGTCAGATGGAGGTCATCAAGACCCTCCTCGGCCATGGGTGCTTCGTGGATTTCCAAGACAGGCACGGCAACACACCCCTGCACGTGGCCTGCAAAGACGGCAGCGCACCTATCGTGATGGCCCTCTGCGAAGCCAGCTGCAATCTGGACATCTCAAACAAGGTACTTGCAGAGGGTGGGATCCCCAGATTCCCACTGGCTGCCGGGTTCTTGCCAAGTTTATAATATTTTCTTGTCATAGCTGAGGATGACGGTCGCTAGGGGACCGTGCCATTTTGAGCCGTGTGACTGTTGAGTAGTTTCCCAGAGTAACAGAAAATTGGGACCTTAACATACACTTCTCGCCTATCCTGGCCTCTCACTTTTGTGTTTGTGAAATGAATGGATGTGCGTGTATGTGTACATGTGTGTGTGCATGTGTTTATGTGTGTGCGTGAACCTGTGCATGTGTACACATAGACATGTGCTTGTGTTTCCAAGAAGAGTTGAAACTCATGGTATAAACAAAGGCCGCTTTCCCATACACACCGTCCTCAGTAAATACTTTCGACGCTGTGTTCTGATCAAGGTTCTGGGTGCACTGTCTTCCTTGTCTCTGATGAGTTGTCTGTGGACAAAAGATCCAAATACAGTTGTGTATGTGTGCATGCATATGCACTATGCAAATTTGGTAAAACCAAAAGAATACTGTCAACTTATAAGTAATAAAGGGGGCTTGAGAGATGGCTCAGTGGTTAAGAGCACCGCCTGCTCTTCCAAAGGTCCTGAGTTCAATTCCCAGCAACCACATTGTAGCTCACAACCATCTGCAGTGAGATCTGGTGCCCTCTTCTGGCCTGCAGGCACACATTCAGACAGAATACTGAGACTACTGTATACATAATAAATAAATAAAATCTTAAAAAATATAAGTAATACAGGAATGAAAATAATTGCATGTTATCAGTCCCTAAAAAGCCCCAAGTGCAGATTCTGGACTGTAGCTGTCACCAGCCATTTCACTGGATCCCACATCGATTTTCAGTACAAAATAAGAACAGTAAAATATTTGTGTAGTCTCAGTGTGTAACTCTGTGAAAGGCAGGCACACTCTCTTCTTAAGGTCATGTTAAAATGAAGTTGAGAAGAATAAATTTAAACTGCAGGAGAGGTCAGTTTATAGGTGGTATATATGCGCCATAGGGCTTTATGATTTTGTTCAAGGTAAAATAATTAATACACGAAACAGCTGGAGAATCGTCTTACTGTTCCTCTTACAGATTACAAGATTAACTGTGGTGCAAATTGAAGTTGGTAATCCTCATATTCTGGGACCCTGTGAAGGCTGTATCCTGGGTCTTCCCTTTAGCTGCTTCTTGCTGTCCTGGTTTTCCTTTCCTCATTGCGCCAAGATAGATATTTGAGTGGCTTAAGAGGGAGGCCAAATGGCCCCAATGGACGTGTGCACATTAGACTTCCTTCAGCCTTCATGCAGGCGGCGCGGTGGACAGCCTGTGCGCAGCATTTGGGCTACACCAGCTTAGGTTGGACAAGGCCCAGAGTTCAGTTCCAATATAAAACAAGAAAAGCATGTCCTATCTTGTGTCTAAAGACAAAATCTTATTAAACACGTCCATTAGAAAGTCCAGCTTTGTTGGGCATGGTGGCACGCACTTGTGCTCCCAGTACCTGTGACGTATAGGCAGGATTATGAATTTGAGGCAAGTCTGGGCTACATGCAAAGAGCTTGTCTCCAGCACAAACATCCACCAAGACAAGTTTAGGTTTCCATGTTTAAAAACACCTGGCCTGGGATGAGGAGAGGCCTGTGGTCCTGTTCACAGCACCACAAAAGTGGACAGAGCGGACACTTGGCTCATTTGGTGGGAACTTGCCACAGTGGTTCACAAACTTGGGTATGCCGATCACACACTGTGCTGGGGCAGCACAGAGGGCCTTCAGTGGGTGATTCTGGTCGTGCGTGGTGCTCATCCAAGGCGAAACCTCGAGTTGCAGAGGGACAGCTTGCGATCTGCAACTTGTCCAGACTTGTGTGGAGCCTTCTGGCTGCGCTTTCGTGTGCTGAATGGCATCACACTGGGGACGGACACGGGAGGAAGCTGACTTTGCTTTATAGAAGCCACTTTTGTAGCCTACCCATCCTGAGAGGTAGTGCTCTAGTGACCCACTCCCATGCTCCCTCTGTCTCCTTGCCCGCTCTTTCCCTGTTTCTGTCCCTCTGCCCTCTTCCCAGTTTTCTTCCATCCCTGACCCTCTCCCCGTATCTTTCTGCCTTTCCTCTGGTGAAGAAGCAGATATTTAAAGTCGTGTGCAGGGGAAAGTAAGTCCCAGCCACAGCTCCCCCCGCCCAAGTCTGTCCAGTCTGTCTTTACTCAGGCCCACACGGGTAGCCATTTGTCAGAGCAGACGTAGCACAGTGGTGTCCGTGCTCCTCGGGCAGGCTGCCATTCCTTCCCCATAGTGCTGTGCTGCTAGATTAGAGTCCTCTGGAGATAAACTTGACCATTCAAATCCTGCTGTTCTCACACCAAGAGGGCAGGGACTTGTCACTCTATGGTGACATTTCTTTCTGCTTAATTTGAAGATGAGGGTGGTTACTTCTTAACCCAGTAGTGTTAGCGAACAGATATGAGAGAAAGTAAGGGCTGACATCAGTGTCACTAAGGTAGAAACCTCACAGGGCACCTCAGCCCGACAGACATACAGACAGACACCACCCACACCTATGACAAGCAATGGACATCAGGTGGGATAGGTGCACAGCCTGTTCTTGCACAGCCCAGGTCCTTGAGGAAGCGAGGATTCAGCCATGGGTGGTTCTACCTTCAGGCTACTTTAGAAAACCAGACTCACAATACAAAGTGGTAAATCCCCTGCCGTCACTGCTGGGGCAGGCATGGGGCAGGCACAAGGTGCTCCGGAAATAGGGGAGGAATCTGAAAGTTTGCTTCTTGGAAGTGACAGATCCAGCTGGATGAAGAGGTCAGGAGAGGCAGCTTTAGACTGCGTCTTCATATGCAGCTCCTGAGGGCTGTGGTGCACACAGCACAGGTATGCAGCTCCTGAGGGCAGAGGTGATGGGAAACGGGAGAAAACAGAGCTGGAAGGAGCCCTGGGGGTCCAGACATGAAAAGCCTAGAGTGTTACACTAAGGAATTTGAATTCTGTCACATCCAGTGCTACACACCAGAGGGAAGTGGTGGCTGAAGGGTTTCAAGTTCAAGGCCAGCCCAGGCTACATGAGACCCTGTCCTAAACTTACTTTATGAGGTTCTTAAAAAGGGTCCATTTCCTTATTGCCTTTCCTTTTAGTCTCTCCTCCCCTGTATAAAACTGTGTGCCCTGAGTTCTCTGCCTTACATTTCATCTTCCACACAGTCCACCCAGATCTGCACAGCTACCTCCTTACCTTCTCACGTTAACTCCTGCAGGTTTGAAAGTTAGGAGTTGTTTTCTAACACCTGTAAAGAGGATGGCAAAACAAAACCCATGTCACAGCTCTGTTGGCAGAAGGAATGCTGTGGAACACTCCTTCCAGCTCTGTTCCCTGCGGGCTGGCTACAGGCGTCACCATGGCCTGAGTAACATTCAGACTTTCCAAATCATGCCACAGACTGAGTTACAGATACAGAAACCCGTGTCAGGAGGATAAGCCAGTAATGGATCGAAGAATGTGATCATGTGTTCGTCAGTTCAGTTGTTTGTCTCCTACCCAATATTCCTAGATGTGAGGTGGGAGGGAAATGCTCTGGTGTGTTAATGGAGAGTGCAGAGCAGGAGGCCGTGGGGAAAAGGCCCAGTGGCACTGAGGGTTTGAGTTTCTGCCACACTCCTCCTATATTAAACACTTGAAATGACAATGTATTGACCCATGTAAAAATAAACATTGTGCAAGCAAATATTCCCAAGATCCAACTGTTCACGTACTCCGTACTGTCTCGCTGATTTTTATTCAGAGCAAACGATTTTGTAATTTCACTGTTGTGCTTGTGGAGTCTCTTAGGCTCCAAACTTAGCAGCCTCTGAGAAAGATCAAACACCTGTGGAGAGGAATCCCCTCTCTTACTCCGTGCATGCTCAGTCACCAGTGTGCATGGTTGCTGTGTCTTGCACTGGTGCTCCCCCTGTGGATGGAGTAGGAAAGGTGCCTCCCTCTCCCCCATTTCACAAGATTATTTTTGAGATGTAAACATTAAAAAAATATTACTTTATGTATTTGGGTATTTTGTCTGCTTATATTATTGTGCACCACACGTGTGCCTGGTGCCCACTGGGGTCAGAGAAGATGTTGGATCCCCTGAACTGAAGTTAAGGATAGTTGTGAGCTACTGTGTGGGTGCTAGATCCTCCGGAAGAAGAGCTAGTTCACTTAACTGTGGACTACCTCTCCAACTTCTGTTTTCAAGACCTTTATTTCTTAGTGTAGAGGCTGATAACTCCTCAGAGCAGACCTGCAAAGACATGTGTCACCGAGAGGAGAGCCGGCAGTCTAATACACCTACTCTGAGTTCCTTGGAGGAGATATTCACCCATATCCTTCAAACCTTAAGATAGCGGCTGTTATCCCTGGGGCTTCACTGTAGCGCCCCAGGGTGCATGACACGCAGTTTGACAACCACAGGCATAAAAGCCATGATAGGCATGGCCTCAAAGCGTCACTTCCTTAGAGTCCCCTCCACAGCCCTTCTCCTTTTGCCTCCCCGGCTCTCTGGATCTGAACTCTATGATGCAGGCACACATGGATGTCTCTTGTCTCGTGCTCTTGCCTCTTGCCTTTCTCTCTGCCAACACAGCAGGGAACTTGGTTACCCTGTGGCTAGCCTCCTCATTTGTCCTTTGAAGGTGTATTTGAAGCTAGTCTTTCAACTTCAGAGTACCTGAGAATGTTCTGCCTGGCAGGCTCGCCTCAGTGGGAGCCAGAACCTCCTCTTTAGTTCTGGTGGGCCCAGGCCCCTTACGTAATGCTGTCTCTCCCCCAACGACAGTGGCTGTGAGCTATGGGCTTTTGCAGGCAACAGCCAAGAGAACACCTTTGGTATTTTCTTTTTCCTCTTCCCAGTATGGACGTACTCCTCTCCACCTTGCAGCCAACAATGGGATCCTGGACGTGGTCCGCTACCTCTGTCTGATGGGCGCCAACGTGGAGGCTCTGACCTCGGTGAGTACCAGGCAGGTGCGGGTGTTTGGCTGCGGAGAGCCATGGAAACTTCTCATGCCTCAAGGGCACGGGGAGAAAGGTATTGCCTGGCAACTGCATTCTAAAGCAGACAGGTTGCTATTAAGCTTTAACTCTCGGCTGCAGTTACATAAACATTTGCCCACACAGACCCAGTTTAATATCTAGTTAATGTTTCATCCTTTTCTCATCTCGCCAGCCCGCTCCGCCAGCGACCCACTGGCTCGAGCTGGCCTTTTGTTTACTGTGTTACACAACCCAACCGTGCTGCTTAACTCTATTCCACGTCTGGATTTCTCTTTCATAAGTGCTTCCCGTTGGCCCCAGGGCACAGGAGGCCCGGTGCCTGTGGGAGGAGCTGGATCCCCTGTGTGACCCTGGGGGTCATGAGCGGCTGAAAGGCAAAGGACAGGTGTCTACAGTTTAGTGTCTGCCTTGCTGCTGGGCCTGAACATTACTTTTAAGCCGGACACAGTCCTTTCCTCTCGCTTCTCGCTTCAGGCTCAGTACCCCAACAGCTTCTCATTTCCCAAAATACCAGAGATAAGAGTTTGGCCAACAAGATGAGGTGGCCATTCAGTTGTGGCCATGAACTATTGCTCAAGTTGCTGCTGGCCCAACAGTGGGTTGACTGTGTGGGGAGGTCTTGACCTTCACAGACCTTAGCTTTGCTGGCAGTCAGTTGTGAAGGCGATCATGTGGCATTTGATGTGGCAGCCCACCTGAGGCTCTGAGGTCGGAAGCGCAGCTCTGGTTCCCCGAGATCTTCAAGGTCTTAACCGAGCAGCCCACGGCGAGCCACATCCATCTTGCTGCTTGTTTTCAGATGACGTTTCCCTGTGGCAGAGCCGCTCTCTTCATTCTCCTTTTGTCTTTGTGCATGCTGGAGAGCCCCAGACACCTGGCGTGATCCGCAGAGTGTGTGTAGGTCTTTGTGGTGCCAGCCACTCTCAGGACCGAACAGTTCTGTTCTCTGCAGAGCTGGGCTCTCTGTAGGTACAGATGTTAACAATGCCCTGTGTGGGATGGGCACGCTTCTCAGGGTATTTCTTTACCCCTGCCGTACAAGGACCTGAGCTGCCCTCATTCCTTTGTCAACCCAGTCTTTACCTACGGGTTAGTGATCCTGCATGCTTAAAAGGAAAAAAAAAATATTTCTTCGACTCAGATGATGCCTCATAGGAAAATCAGAAACAAGGGTGATTTGAAATGCTATCAGCTGTTGGAGCCAGAAATGTGTGTGGCCTCCGGTCTCTTTGTGTTCCTCTGTGAGCCCCTGGTTCTCTCCATTCCCGCTTCTCTGTGGTGTCTGTCTCCTTTGTTCCCCGCCACCGTTCTGCCAGGCCACCTTCTCCTCTGATCCCTGTCTCTTCCAGCTTCTAGAGGGGCTCTTTGGGGTTTTCTGTCCACACCTTATAGCTCCTCGCTTAGCCTCACCATTTACTCAGACAGACATAGGGAAACTTCTAGAACATGAGAGAGGGATGCTGATCAGAGAGTCTTAACAGCTGATCTGGAGTCACTGGGTGAGGCAAGAGTCGGGTCCTGGGAAATTGGTGGAGCTGACCCTTCTGCAGGAGCTAGACATGGAGGATAGCCACTGAGTGATTTTGAAGTTATTAGAGGCTCCAGAAAAGCACCAAATACAGAGTCTTGAGCTGTAAGGATTCCGGGAACCGTGCAGCACTGAGAGCCTCCTGTGGCACCTGGCAATCTAGCCAGGGGAAGGCAGGCCTCTTCCTCTTAGAGCAATGTTGCCTTTGTGTGAGGAGTGGGGTGTCCAAGTGCTGAGGACCTCACCAAAAACGAAGCCCAGACTTTGTTATTGTTTCAGATTCTCTAGCAGCTCCACTAAAAACAACAGATGAAGCAAATTTCAGTAGAGCATCAGAATATCATCTCAACTGTGTTTTAAGATTGTTAATGTCTTTCCTATTGTCTCACCTGTACCAAGTTTTTAGTGCCTTGCGTGTTCTGCGCTGACATCCATTTTTTCTGGACCATATTTCTGACCCTGGGCTGGGGCTGCTGCCCTGTGTGACAGCCATACCAGTAACTTTTTCCCGTTCCTTCTGAGAAGAGTGTCAGAGCAACACTTGGCTCCACAGCGCCTTCTAGTGTCTCTCCTGGTTTTATCTTTCTTTCTTTTTTTTCTTCGCAATCAAGGTTTTATTACTGGTTAGAAAAACATTGCAGCAGTGACATTAAAGAACCCCTCTCCACTCTGTAGTACAGGAATATAGTTTTCCAAGGGTCACTCTGGTGGAGTCTCAACAGTTTTCCACTCAACTTCTTTTCTGCAAATTTTCTCTTCTTAGTTATTGTATTCTTGAAGAGCCTGAAAAAATATGGAACGCTTCACGAATTTGCAGGAATGGTTTCTGAGGGCTCCCGCCCTTCCTCTTGCCTTCCCCCTCCCCGACTCTCCACTGGCTTGTCTTCCTCAACCACTGACTCAGCAGAGGCCCGTCCCTCTAGGAACTTGTCTCTTTTAGTATAAATGAAGACAGATTACCAAAGAAGTGGCTGGGTACGGTGGTGTACACCTTTGATACCAGGATTCAGGAAGCAAAGTAAAGCAAATCTTTGAGTTCAAGGCCAGCCTGGTCTGAATAGAGAGTTCTAGGCCAGCCAGAGCTACATAGTGAGATGCTGTATCAAAAATAAAATAAAACGGTATGTGATCAAAATGATCAAGGCATGTAAGTCATCTGTAGGACCTTTGTAGGTCCACGTGGGCTATGGAATAACTGAAAGCCACCCCAGGGACAGTGGCTGGCCTCCACGCTCTCTCTGATGTAACTCCCTCTGACTTGGTCTCTTCCTCTTACTGCCCAGCAAGTACCAGTGGCTCCTGTTTATCCTTTTTCTTAGTCCTGACCCACTTTTGCCTCCCTACACCTGCCTCGTCTCTGCCTATGCCTGCCTCTGACTCTTTCCCCTGTTCCTGGATACCTGTTGTCCAGCCTTCCTTGTTTTCTCTCTGGGTCCCAGGTCTGCAGCTTCACTTAAACACCAGGCCCTCCTCCACATTTCTGGACCTTCATGTCCTCAGAGCTCAGCCTTGAATGTTACCTTGGAAAGTCTGAGGCAGCCACATCCTGCTTCTTTCCCTCCCAAAGGCATTCCATGCAGAGTCAGTTTGATGAGATGGTGAGGGGTGCAGTGTCCAATAAGGAACCCCGTTCAACCCATAGCCAAGGAGAAGGCCTGGCCTGCCTGTTGGATTCATCTGAGGATTTTAGGGACAGAGTAAGAACAGGGTGACCATGACTTTGAAGCACCCCTCTGTGGAACACACACCTGAGCTGCACCTTCAGCCTGGGTTGAGCGTTCATTCTCAGCCTGGCAATTTTGTTCCCAAGAGACACTTGGAATTCTCTGGAGACATGCAGTTTTCCGGCTAGATGTTATGGAATGTTTCCGGCCCCTTGGCAGATGGCAGAGTGTTGTTAGCCACTGTATAAGGTAGAAAATGGCTTTCCACAGCAGAGAATGACATAATCCAGTAGAACTGAGATTAGGAATTGCTGGGCTTGAGAGACCCCATGAGTATCTCTGGAGTAGCTTAAGCTGAAGAGCTGGGAGTTTGGCAGGCAGACAGACTTTCGGCATTCCAGGCCGCCACAGGATGGCTCGCCTCCAAATGCTGGTAATGAAGCCATAGACTTACTTTTCTTTTGATGAATAGGTGTCTTCATTGACTTGAAAATTGGTTTTTAGGGCTGAATAAAACTTCAGCTCAATGGTTGTGTCCTTCTCCCATGGTGTGTGTGTGTGTGGAGGGGGGTACAACCACAGCTCCTGTCCCTCTGAGGGACCATGAGGTCACTCTTGTGCCTCACTGTGAACTGGATCAGGTCTGGACCAGAAGGTTCCCTGGAGATGGTCCTACCCATGGTATATAAATAAGAATATATCCCTTCATATGAAACCATGGCCCTGTGAGAAGTCTAATTAAACAGTAAAGATCAAAGTGCTGTCCCCACTCAGTGATTGTCAGCCACCAAACTGTGCTAGTCTGTGTTTGGAAGGCACAGTGATTCCCAGCCGTGGCACTGTCTGAGGGCCAGGTCTGTATGTGTTAGAACTGAGAGACATGAGCTGACACTGAAGCGGACACACGTGACTGCTGTGTTAGAGACGGGGCCTCAGGGCAGGAAATCAGTCAGAGAATGAGCTTGCGCTGAGTCTGTGGGTTGAGCATCTTTCTGCCATCCCCGCAGGACATTGATGTGTTCCTTGCTCTGACATCTTTCTTTCCTGGGCCACCGGATAAAATAAGGATTCTCTGGACAGGGAAACAAGCTGGGATATGGTCTTTTACCTGACTTTCTTCTAACCCTGCTGCGCCTGTTTCTTCCTCAAGCTGGTGTGTTTGGGTCTTATGCAGTTCTGCTTTTCAGGGGAAGGGCACTCACTAATCGTCTGTCTCCTACAGGATGGCAAGACAGCTGAAGACCTCGCTAGGTCGGAACAGCACGAGCATGTGGCGGGGCTCTTGGCAAGACTACGGAAGGTGAGCTTCCTTTGAAGTTTTCGGCTTTGTTTTTCTGCGAGAAGTTTTTCTTGTGAGCTATTGGGGGAGGCATCAGGCTTGGGTTTAGGAAGATCATCTGTCCATGTGCTGTCAGTGGGCACACATGCAGAAGCACCCATAGGGTTTCTTCTACACTTGGCTGTAAAAAAATGAATTTGGGGGCTGGAGGGATAGGCTCAGTGGTTAAGAGCACTGGTTGCTCTTGCAGAGGGCCAGGGATCAATTCCCAGCATCTCCGAGGCAGTTCACAACCATCTGTAAGCCCCGTGCTTACAGGAGATCCAACATCTCCTCAGACACCAGGCAGACGCACAAACTAGCTTAGTATTTCCCTTCACTGAGTTAGTTTGGTTTTCCCAACCCTTTCTCTGCTAACCATCCTGTCTTAGCTAGAATTTCTATTGCTATGAAGAGATGCTATGACCATGGCAATCCTTATAAAGGAAAACATTTAATTGAGCTGGCTTGCAGAGGCTTAGTCTATTATCATGGTAGGTGGCATGCAGGCCAACATGGTGCTGGAGAGGGGGCTGAGAGTTCTACATCTTGATCTTCAGGGAACAGGAAGTGAGCTGCGTACCACACTGAGCACAACTTGAGCAAAGGAGACCTCAAAGCCTGCCCCCACAGGGAAATACTTCCTCCAACAAGGCCACACATCCTAATAGTGCTGCTCCCTATGAGCTTATGGGGGCCAATTGCATTCAAACCATCACACACCCCTACAGTGGAGGGGGATACACACTGATGATGTCTCTTTCCCTCTTTTGTTTTGAATTCCCAGCTCCTGTTTATAAAGACATAAAACAAGCAAATACAGGTGTAAGGTCTGCAGCCTGTTTCATGCATCTAGAGACTTCAGAATGCTTAATCCCTTTTGGTTAAGATATCTGTTTGTTGCCAGGCAGTGATGGCGCACGCCTTTAATCCCAGCACTCTGGAGGCAGAGGCAGGTGGATCTCTGTGAGTTTGAGGCCAGAACAGTCTCCAAAGCTACACAGAGAAACCCTGTCTCGAAAAACCAAATTTAAAAAAAGAAAGAAAGAAAAGAAAAGATATCTATTTGTTAACACACAAAGGTATCCACTGTAGTCCTATTTAAAGTGTAGTAGCGAAAATTAGACACATCAGGTCACCGACACTAATGTGTAGCAAATTGTCACAGAGAACGGGATGGTGTTTCACCTTTATGGATGCTTATGAAGAGGTTGTAAGTACAGGAGGTTAATGCTTAGGATGTTTCTAGGCTGAAACAAAGAATAAAAAGATAAATTGTCCTCCCATTTTAGCCCTTACCCTAGGGCTAGAATGTAGCTCAGTTGGTAGAGATCTTCCAGAACATTCAAGAAACCCTGATTTCCATTGCTAGTGTGGAGGGTGCTGCTTACTGGATTTCTCCCTATGGCTTGTTCAGGGTAGCACCACCGACAGTGAGCTGGGTGCTCACAAACTAATCATTCATCAAGAAAATTCCTCACAGATCTGCCGGTTTGGTGAAGGCAATTCCTCAGCTGAGGAGCCCTCTTCTGAGGTGACTCGAATTTATATCAAGTTGGCAAAAACTAAGGAGTGCAGGTGGCCTGGATTCTGGACCCAGCCCCATGAAGCTCTTGCTGGATGAACTGGTCCATTGCTCACCAAATCTATGTTTCAACATCTGTATTTGACCCATGGGTAGAGGTGGCACCTCACAGGATGGTATTTAGGGCCAAAAGAGTTGAGATAAATGTGTCCTGAGGACAGCACCTGAACACATGGTTTCCTTTCTGGTTGGCACCCTGAAGAGCATCCCTAAAGTGGACCCTGGCAATTTTGGTGGCAACCCTGGGGTCATGTAGCTGTTCTGTCATTTTATGTCCCCAGGGTTCACAGAGAAGGTGGGGAACTGGGCCTCAAAGAGACTGAGGGAGGGGTTAGTGGAAAGCCAAGAGCCCCATCTCACACACTGTATCTCCACTTTCTGAATCTCTCTGTGTGCACAGGGCCTATGTACTGTGTATTCCCAGCCAGCATGGGGACATCGCAGTGAGTCTGTGCCAAGAATCCCCCTCCCTGTAGCAGGTCAGATTACTCCCTAGTGCCTGCAGAGAAAGTCAGGGTGTTGATGGCAGTGGCTTGCTGCAGAAGCCAGTGCCTGCAGAGAAAGTCAGGTGCATTTGTTTGCATTTTCTCACTGGGTCACCAGGAGGGGAGACTGTTCAAACAGAGAATGTGGGAGAAGAGGGAAGGCCGCAGAGTGGCCACTGTACCCTTCTGCCTTCTCTGCCACGCTCACCGGGGCATTCCTGGCATTACAGGTGGGTGCAAGGCCTGTATTGCAGACTTATTTTGGTCTCCAGCCTCCAGGCCCCTGTTGTAACCTCTATTTTTCTCTCCTTTCCTTTGTGAAAACCAAAGGTTACCTACACATACCGGGCTGTGTTCCCTGTCTGTCTTAGAGCCACTCGAAGGAGAAGTGGGCCTTGGCCTTCCTCACTTGGGGACAGTCCACGTGGTCACTGCAGTTCTCAAAGGCTCACCCCCTGTGTTTTCACCTCCTAGGAAGGTAGTTTTGCTGTCAAGAAAATCAGGGGATTGACCTATGGAAATAGATCCAAAGCCAGCCTGCCACTGCCACCAGAGAATGCCAGCGTGAGAGCCAGAGGGTCCGTGCTCATCACTAGGCAGTGAGGGCTGATACAGGACCTCAGGAGCATCCTTTCTGGACAGGCTAGGACCACCGGGGGCCCAGGTCAATTCCAGGAGGTCGGGCTGAGCTGTATGGAGTCTGCACTGGTCCAGTTCAATATGGAGGGCTTAGAACATTTGGTTCTTAGTGCATTGTGGTTTGGTGGGCTCTACAAGCACCACAACTGTGCCCTGGCTGCCCCTTGCCAGGGGAACTAACAGGAGGAAGGTATCCCTTTTGTCACATGCATGCGCCTACACACACACACACACACACACACACACAACACACACACTCACGTGATTTCTTCCAGGAAACAGAGCTCATTAGCCTCGCCACCCCACACACCTGAGCTGCACTGTCTAGCCAGGCCAAGTTTCCTCATCTAAATGCAAGGTTGATGTGGCCGCAGGGAGTGGTCTGCTTTCCAATTGTCCTTGAAGTTCATTTTCGCTGCCACCTTTGTCCCTGCGATTTCCATGTTTATCAGACCTTTGGGGACTTGGTTTTCTTGACTGTCTTTTCAGTCAGACTTTCCGTAAATTGATATTAAAAGTGCCCATGTCTAGGCAGAAGTGCTCAGGAATGTTTTGGAAAATGGACAGTGTTGGGAGTTGCCCAGAATTAAAATTCACCAGGAGTGAAGAGCATTTGTATAATTAGGGCCTTACAGCTTCCGCCTCATGCTGGAAGCCGCTGTCTCTTCTTTGGGCTCTTATCTGGCGTCTCCAGATTGCTGGTCGTCTTCCTCTCCAGCCTGTGGGTTTAGTCATCTTTCCTGGTGGGAAAGTGGATGCTAATTTGCCAGGGGAAAAGTTGCTGTAGAAAGAAAACTGTAAACCCAGAGACCTTTTCTAGGTTCAGGCTGTGGTGTCAGGGTCTGGAGGAGAGCCTAGTGGGAGCCATTGATAGCCAGCATGGTGCTGGACTTGGCTGGCCAATTGCTAACAAATGAGTAACTACCTAAACAAGCACTTAAAGCAAGCTCCTCAGTGGTGAGTGTAACCTGTCTGACAACCCCTTCCCCCACAACCACCTGGAAGGTTCCAGATCATAAACCCATACTCCTTAGTGTTCTCTTACCAAATGATGTCCAGTCTGAACAGAGAGAACTCACCCAAACCTCTAGTGCCCTTGGCCTTGTGTGTGATCCAGTCACATCCACAGACCCAAGGAACACACACTGGTGCACACCATAAGACCTGAGAAAGACTGAAGAAACACCATTGCCCCAGCTGGCTACTCCTCCCGGGTACTGGGTGGACAAGCTCCTGCCTGGCCAGTCTAGGTTGGAGCTAGGTCTAGCCTTAGAGTTATTCACTCAGTTAACTATTCACTCTGGTGAACTATAATCGCGCTTCCCGCCAAACCAGTTAACATACATAGCACCTTCTAGAACTGATCTGGAGCCATTCCTTGGGGTAGGAAAACAGTTGATGAAAACGGCCTTCCAGGCTCCTCAGCTTGTCTCTGCTGTGCCATCTAGTGGCCAGAAGTGAAAATGTTCCGACTGCCCATGGAGGGCTATAGAAACCTGTGTCAACTCGTTGGGTTTAGAATCTCCAGGGTTTGAAGTGAGGAGCAGGAGAAATCATCCCGCAGCATGTGGTTAGAGTCCCTCACACATGAGGATGAGGATTTTTTGCTCTGTCTTGTTTTCCAAGACTGCAGTATACTCCTCCCATCCCTGTGAGAAAGTATTCCTCCTGGCTTAAGTTCTAAAACTGCAGTTCTCAACCTAGGGGCCGAGTGACCCTTTCAGAGGGGGTCACCTAAGACCATGGGAAAACACAGGCATTTATATTATGATTCATAACAGTAGCAAAATCACAGTTACGAAGTAGCCATGAAACTAATTTTATGGTTGGGGGGTCACTGCAACATGAGGGACTGTATTAGCCAGTTGCACCGTTAGGAAGGTTGGGAACTACTGCTCTAGAGCCTCCAGGCCAAGGCTGTCATCTCTTGGTGGACAGAAGAGAAGGCATGAAAGGAACCTGGACATAGGCAGGAGGGGGTAATGTAGGATTCCTTCCTTGGAAACCCACTCCAGTCTGATGTCCCTGGCCCCCACTTTAAATGTGAGAATATGTGTTTGCTTGCGTGGTCACCCAGAGTTAAGGGCCTCATATAAAAGCCAAGGTATAGATTTAGCCAAACACTGTCCTCTTTTATAAAACAGGGTGTGTTGAAATCGGTTATTAATTAGCTGGCTGGCATATGATTCAGACATGAGTGACCAGCCCCAGCTCTGGAGGCAGGTGGGCATGCTCCACTCACTGCCCCAGCAGTGAATAGGTTTGCCTCTGAAACAAAGCCACAAAGAGGTGCCAAAGTGACGAGCCACACCCTATAGAAAGATAAGTAGGCAGGGCTCACTTTGCTCACTTTCCTAGTGGTGGTTTATGAATCTTACTAAAGTCTAGAGGCCACCACGGTTACCTCGTGTTTGAGACAGTGCCCCAGTGGGGCTGTCTTCAGTGAGATGGCCTGCGAATGGCTTGTGTGGTCCCCTGTGCCTGAGATTCCGCCTCCTGTCTGTGTGTGCTCCGTTCACCTCCCTTTTACACTCTGCGAAGGACCGAGGAGCCTTTGACACTCCACAGAGGGTAAAGGGTCCAGTAGTAGATTCTGATTTACTCCATGTCCTGTTTCCTTACCTGGCCAAGGGGAGGCGTAGACACAGCTTCTGTATCAGTCACCTGGGAGCTCACGACACTCCTTCCATAAGGCCATCCCACTGATCTAAGAACATCTTGCGGATGGATCCTTCTCTGTAAAATCTCAGACTCAGCATGAAAATGCTGGGCCCTGGGTCCCTGGTGCCCTGGTAGTGATCTAGGGAGTCTGCCATCGCCCCGGAGTTACTGAGCACTCACCACAGGTGCCCATTGGACTGTTGACACAGCAACTCGAGCAGCACAGCTCCAGGGGTAGCAAGGGCTCCAACAGTCTCAATGCATAAAGGCCAAACAGAAGTCTAGACAGGGCCAAAAAGATGGCTTAGGAAATAGAGGTGTCTGTTATCAGCCTGAGGACCCTCATGGTGGAAGGAGAGAACCGTCCCTCTCATGCAGCCTCTAACACGTACGGCAGTGTGCACACAGATAAGAAAGAAAGAAAGAGAAAAAGAAAGAAAGAAAGAAAGAAAGAAAGAAAGGTTTAAACACTGTATGAGCCAGCCAATTTGTAAGATACTTGTAATCTTGGAAAACTCTGCTCCCCTCCCCCACCCCCACCCCCCAGTTATGTGCAAACGTGCACCTAAGCCCTAAGCTGAGACGACTTCTCAGAAGATTTCTCTCGTGTGTAAACACTGATCAGGTACTCAGAAGTCCTCGGGGACCCAGAATATCCTTCACTGTAGGAGATATAGAGGCACACCTTTCCATCCAGTGCCCAAACACCCTCACGTTGTGGGATCTAAAATACATCCATTTCCCATAGCGCCCAGGAGGGGGCAGTAGTGTCACCAGGGATCTAAAATACATCCATCTCCCATACGTACCAAAACAGGCTTCTTGTGAAGGGACCAGAATTTCCATACAAATAGAAAAAGGCCTGCATATACCATCACAGTGGCCCTCAAGGAACCCCGTCACAACCCAGAAAGGAGCCGCGACAACCCTCTTATGCCATGACGGTACCACCCATGCCCCAGGCTCTCTACACAGAGGAACAGACCCTTAGCTGGTCAGACAGAGTTCATCTTAGTTCATGCCTAAGTTGATGCTTCACAGGTTTTTCCACCCAATTTGTTTGGATCCAGATGCCATGGGAACAGGCAGATCCGGAGACAGGGGACAGAGGTTGCCAGGGGCTGAACAGATTGCAGGGGTAGTGAATGCCAATGGACTGGGAGTCCTGCAATGACAAAGGGATTCTGAGATGGGCGAGCAGAGATGATTGACAGCAAGGGGAGAGACTAGAACCCCTGACGTACATTCTTCAGAACAGTGACTGCATGCTGTGTGTTTTCCTTTAGCTTGGAAACATTTCTGTGGAGCCAGCAAAGAAATATATTCCTGACTAGAGAAGGAAGTACAGGCCCAGGACCAGAAAGCCAAGAACCACGGGGTCCAGTCTGCTAAGAGCTTCACTTTTCCCCTCTTCCAGGACACACACAGAGGACTCTTCATCCAGCAGCTCCGACCCACGCAGAATCTCCAGCCAAGAATCAAACTCAAACTGTTCGGCCACTCGGGGTCTGGGAAATCCACACTGGTGGAGTCTCTCAAGTGTGGGCTGTTGAGGAGTTTCTTCAGAAGGCGCAGGCCCAGGCTCTCCTCCATGAACTCCACCCGCTTCCCTCCATCGCCCCTGGCTGCTAAGCCAACAGGTAGGCGCTCCCCGGGCCACACTTCCTGAGGTTGTTGGGTTTACAGCCTTTAGAGTGAGGTGTGCCGGAGGCAAAGGCTGAGGTTCCAGCAGGTCCTTAGCTACTCTGGAGAAACTCACAGTGCTCCTGAAGTGAGACAAGTGTTGGGGATTCTGAGCTCACACTGGGGTGACTCAGGCTGGTGGGGACTTGACTTTCCAAAGATCCTTACATACACTTCTCACCTGCAGCCACAGCCTCACTCTGTTCTGTGGCTCCCTTGGGGACGGTGGCCGTCTTGATGTGTCTGTACCAGAGAGGGAGGCATTCAGCCTCCTGGGAACAACTCTTGACCACCTGCCTAGGAAGTTGCTGAAGACCCTCAGCCCAAAATAGGCTCTCCCTTCAAGTCTGCCTCCTGTTGCCACTAGAGGGCAATAGTCAACAATGTTTTTTTTTTCTGTGATTTCACAAGCTATAGCTTTTATTTTGCTATAAACAAGCCTGTCTCAGCCCTGTATCCACACCATGAACACTTATCACTAAGACGTAGGAAGAAAAGGCCTCCTGCCAATATTGCCTGTCCTCCTCTGCTACCTTGTGCCCACAGCCAGCTAACCATATCCATTCCTGTTAGGTGGTTGTCCTAAACACGGGTGCTGGGCATGAGACATTCCTGGGGGTCCCCAATGCTCCCGTGAGGCTTGGGAACTATAGAAAGATACACTGCAATGGACATGCATCTAATCCTCCATTCCATAGCCCTCCCTTTCTCAGACCCACCTCTTCCCTCACCAACCACCCCTCTCCTCCTTGCCTGCTTTGGGAACCCCACGTCCTGAGTCCTAACCCTTCATTCTGCAGTCTCAGTGAGCATTCACAACCTGTACCCACCTCTTCCCTCACCATCCACCTCTCTCCTCCTCCCCTGCTTTGGGAACCCCACATCCTGAGTCCTAACCCTTTGTTCTACAGTCTCGGTGAGCATTAACAACCTATACCCCGGCTGTGAGAACGTGAGCGTGAGGAGCCGCAGCATGATGTTCGAGCCGGGCCTCACCAAAGGGATGCTGGAAGTGTTTGTGGCTCCGTCCCATCACCTGCACTGCTCGGCCGACGACCAGTCCACCAAGGCCATCGACATCCAGAACGCTTATTTGAACGGTATGCCCCACCTACCCGGAGGGAAGGAATTTGGGTTTTTCTTTCACGGGGCTTCAAGTCCTGACCCAAAGGCAGCTTTTGCTAAGCAGTATTTGCTATATCCAAGGAAAGTCCTGTGCAGACTATTGATGGGGCCGACTCAGGCCTGAGCCATAGCTAGCTAACACACTAGAAGCAAAACTACATAGTTGGGCACTGTCAGCACCTAGCAAAACACTTAGCACCCAGTGGGTACTTAATAAGTAGATTGGGTGATTAGTACCTTTTGAAAAGCAGACCCCCTGCCTGTTTAGGTGGGGATCTAATGATGCACACAGCCCCTCATGGTGATGAAGCAAGTTTGAAAAGGCGATGTTTTACACATTGACATCATGGCTAACACCGGCATACACGTAGAGAATTCTTTGAGTGTTTTGTTGTTGTGCTTGCTTATGAGACCCAGACTTTCATGCAACCTAGGAGAGCCTCAGTGTAGCACCCCAGACTTCTACCTTCCTCTACCACCACCTTTCAACACCTCCCCTCTTAGTACCCCACACTGCAGAGTGGGGCACTCCTGCCAAGTCTCAAGTAGAAAACATCATGGCAGGAGAGGCCGCATGCTGAGAAGAAGCCAGAGAGCTGGGATGTGGCCAGCCTCTCTTTATAATAACCCACTCTCAAGGCGCTAAAGTTAATGAGGTGTTAACATCTACCTGAGGGCCTCGCACATGACCACCTCCCATCATGCCCCAGGCTCTGCCATTCCATCAGGTCACTGGGGATGCAGCCTGCAGCTCACAGATCCTCAACAGGGACAAAGACACAGGGATGGGCACGCCCAGAGGGCGTCGGGAGGGATGTGTGTGACAGAGCTGCTGTCCTGTCTGCCGTGGGAGAATTTCAGAAGATAGCAGGGTGTGTCCAACCCTTCAACACTGTGGCAATGACATCATTCACAGGTGTGTTGAATCACATTCCTAGCTGTACTGGAATGTGGCCCACAGACCACAGGTTAGACACACTGGTGAGGTTCTGTGATTATCTTAGTGAAAAACATCACATTACCTAAAGCTGAGATTATCTAACACCAGTTTAAATGGGACACATTACCTGAAGCTGTGATTATCTAACACCAGCCTAAATCACCTGAGATCTGTAACAGCATGGACTGCTGGGTCCCCAGGGCTTCCCCAAGGGCCCAGGTCTAAGAGCTCCTGATCCCAATGACTGGGATTAAAGTCCATGCCCCCCCCCCCCCCCCATTTTAAACTGTGTTTTTCCCCAGCATCCCTGGACAGAGCTGGCCTGGCAACATGAAGAAAGGAGGCGCTCATATCTGGGACTCACTCAAAATCCCCACCACAAACCAGGACTCCAGTGCTGAAAGTTCTATTTCTGGTCTGAGAACTTTCCATACTATGCTGAGCCTCCAATTACAGGGTGTGTGTGTTCTGCGTGTTTGGCTCATTCTCCTGTGGAATCTGACAGGACTGATCTCTTTCCATGATTGGCTCTCACCCTCTTTATATAATAATATGAAAGGGGAGAGAAAGCAAAAGTTTGTTTGTATACACGCACTTCCATGTCTGCCTCTGGCCCCACATGCCTATAACACACATATATCTGCCGGCAATTTGGAGTAAACATACAGTAGATACAGCCAAGGCGATCTTAATGAAAACCTTTAGGGGGGTCATGTAGGCGTAGATGAGAGGGATAGGCATAGAGCACTGGACAGGGACCTGTGCAGAAGTCGCTGTGTCCTTACACAGACACATGCTGCAGGTGTCACAAGCCCTGTGCAGAGTCCCTAGAATGCTAACAGCCCCTGAAGTTAGGTGGGATGTTTCCTGATTGCAGCCTTTGCTTTCTTTCTGAAGGAGTTGGTGATTTCAGTGTATGGGAGTTCTCTGGGAACCCCGTGTACTTTTGTTGCTATGACTACTTCGCTGCCAAAGATCCCACATCCATCCATGTCATCGTTTTCAGTCTAGAAGAACCCTACGAGATCCAACTGAACCAAGTGATTTTCTGGCTCAGTTTCTTGAAGTCTCTGGTCCCAGTTGAAGAACCCATAGGTGAGCAAGGTCCTTCCTCCTCTGCCTCTGCAATGCTTCTCTTGGGGTCCTCGTGTTGGCCGCACTTAGACCCTACAGAATGGGACTCCCAGCTCTGACCTCCTCCCAGTTCTGAACCATCCCTGGTAGCCCCTTCTCACCCCTGCTGCACTTCCTCACCAAGGTCTTCATGGCTGAGCGCACTGTGGAGTCCTCCGTCCACGGCTCCTGCTCCCTTCTGGAAAGTACTGGTGCATCAGCAGCAGAAGGGGTTATCTTTCCATCTGCGGCCCTGGTGAAAAGGCCCAGGCAGCCTGCCTCATGACGTTGGCTAGGGGGCTCGGCCTCCAACAGGAGCAGCTGTCCCTGGTTTGGGGTGATGCTCAGCAGCCATATTCCTTCGACCGAAAGCCCAGGCTCATGACATCAGCAGGGCTGATCTCCCAGGGGACGTAGTTTTGCCTCTTCTTTCTCCTTTGCCACATCTCTTTTAAAACACTCCTGTGAGCAGAGGCCTTGCCTGTGTGAGTTGGAGACCACTTGTCTTTGGCTTTCTCCAGTGTGTGGTTTCATTCAGAAGGCTTTTTTTGTTCCCGTGAAAGCTGTCTGTGGTTGCAAATGTCTCCTTCACATGTGGTCTCTTTAAGGGAGCCCCCAAGAGCAGCTTTTTGTCCTGCAGTCTGCCCTTGTCTCTGCTGAGAACTCTAGCGGAGGATCAGAACCAGAGGCTGTACTCCCTAGTCCTGCCCTCTAGCCTGTGGGCAGGTTGTATGTCACCTGCACAGGGGGTCTAGGCAGGAGGCCAGCACATTGCCTTTGGGGCAGGAGAAACCAGCCAGGGAGGAGATCAGACTCTCAAAGGGTACACTTTCTCCCTCAGCTTTTGGAGGCAAGCTGAAGAACCCACTCCGAGTTGTCCTGGTAGCCACACATGCTGACATCATGAACATCCCTCGGCCTGCTGGAGGCGAGTTTGGATATGATAAGGATATATCCTTGCTGAAAGAGATCAGGAACAGGTGAGCGCAGCCCACAGGGGTGGGGGTGGGGTGGGGTGAGCATCTGGGGGGATGGGGTGAGCATCTGAACAGGGGAACTGGGTCGGGTGAGAGGATGCAGCAGAGAACATGTGGCCCTGCTCGGGTGGGGTGGGGTGGAGCGGGTGAAGGAACTTCCCCCTTTGTTAAACTTTTCATTTTCATCAAAGCAATGAGTACTAATTACACAGGTAATACAGCTGTTATACGCAAACAGAGCATGGTAAAAGGCCACAGGCTGCTCTCACCTTCTCACCCAGTACCTCCACACAGAGGTGGCTTCTGTTCTCAGGCTTTCGGAATTGACATGGGTAGCAGCACCCTGGTCAATATTTCCCAACATGTCGATTGCAGGTACACACTGGATTATAACATCACTTAGGTTAACGTCCAAGCTACATCATGGAGTAGGTTGGGATGGGATGGAACAGAACAGAATAGAAAAGATCCGAGTGCCTTCCTGTTGAGTATTATCATATAAGACCCTTGTTTCTCTTATAAAGAACTGGACGTAAATATAAGTTTTTACTTAGAATCTGTTGGTAATTTTTATTGCTGTAGCGATACACCTGAAGTTGGGTTGCTAATAGAAGAAGATGCTCTTAGCTAAGAGCTTAGGAAGCAAGAAGTCTAAACCCCATTTCGTCAGTCCTGTGAGGACCCCTTGATCACATCACTTCCTGGTGTTTGGCATCATGGTGGACAATGTGTAAGGATAGGAATTCAGGGAGGGAATTTGAATTAGGCTCTCTTGACAGTTCACAGATTTTCTGGAAGCTACCGTAATCCTTGGCACGGCAGCACCCCTGAAACTGCAGTGTTCAGTTAAGCGTGATTTCTTAAAGACCCCATTAGACACATCACCTCCCTGGGGACAGAGCCTCTATAATGGAGGCACCCCTGGAGGACAGACCACATTCATTCCGTACCGTGTTCCAAGGCTCTATGAGCAAGCGTAAACTTGGCAGCTGGAGAGATGGCTGCTCTTCCAGGGTACCTGAGTTTGGTTCCCAGCACCCACACATATAGTTCACAACAGCCTGTAACTCCAGTTCTAGGGGACCCAGTGCCCTCTTGTGCAGGTGGCACACACAGAGAGACATGTAGTAATATGAGCGGCAGGGCTGCTTCCCACCACCCGGCTAGATTTATACCCGAAATAATTACACGGACACTGTATTCTTTTAAACACTGCTTGGCCCTTTAGCTCTAGCACTTACAGGCTAATTCTCACATCCCGATCAACCCATCTCTAATAATCTGTGAGAACCGGTCTTACCGGGAAGATTCTAGCCTAGTCCATCCTGGGTCGGAGCTTCATGGCATGTGTCTGCCCGGGAGCGGGGCATGGTGTCTCTGCTCCAGCGAGCAGAGCTGTTGAGTCTGAGCTCACTTCCTCTTCCTCCCAGCGTTCTGTTCTGTTTACTCCTCCCACCTATCTTCTAACCAATAAAATGGGCCAAGGCAGTTCCTTTATTAGCCAATGACCTTCCTCCATCATTTCCCCTTTTTCGGTTTAAACAAAAAAAAAAGCTTTAACTTTAACATAGCAAAATTACATATAACAAAACAGTTATCAAGTAAAAGTTACAATAATCTTTATCATAACTAAGGAAAACTATAACTATAACTAACTATTCTTAACTCCATCAAAGACTCCAGAAAGATACAATACTACCTAAGCAAACAAGAAAAAAGCAACTTTTAAAACTCTAGAAATGACAGAGACATCTCGCTGCCTGGACAGTCACCCAAAGTTCCTCTGTACCGTTGGGGCATCCATCTTCAGCCTTCAGGCCCATGGTATCCAGTAGACATTTCCATAAAGCAGGAAAATTCAAAGTCAGTTCAGTCACTATCTGTTGTGTCCTGCAGAATGTCTCGCAGACTCTTTCATGAATCAGGAACCCCGAAAGATCATCTCACCTTAGGCAAGTTCAGTAGTCCTCTCTCTGTGGGTTCTCTGTGTCCAGTTTATGCAATAGTCCAGGCAAGAGCAGTTTCTTGCCCAAATGGCTATCAAACTCCATAACGAGCCTCTTCGATGCCCATCTTCCTCTTGAAGTAGATTGGTGCTGCCAGGAGCAGAGTGTCTCATTGTCATGAAAAGTCCTCAGTTATATATTTCTTAATTATACAGTACATATTTAAATGAACTACACAATCACAATACCTTAATCAAAATCAGAAACACTTACATATATAACAAAATTGACCTTAAATCTCGATCAATAAAGCAAAATCTATACTAATGTAAATTATTCATATCTATATCATATCCCCCTTTAAATGTAAAAGGACATTTATAAACCATATTTGGGAACATGGGCGCAGTTTTTTGTCTCCAAACTGCTTCCTGCTGAATGGGGGCGTCGTTAATTAGGTCTTTCATGGTATAACCTGTGTGCTAGTTTCATCTCAGTTGGCAGTTGAGTGAAGCAATTTTCTGAAGATGTTCACAACATCCCTTCAGGAGGGCGTGGTCCATCATACCAAATCGGAATAAATGCAATCCACAAGGTCTGATCCTCTGTGAAAACAAAATAAGAAACTCCTTTCCAAAGCATCATGTCCTTAGATCCAAATTTCAATGTCAAGGCATCAAAATATCTATGTTTGATTAGTTCAGCAGCATTTACAAATAAATATCTTTTAGCAGCTGTTGCTCCTTCCTCAGCATTCAAACAATTCAAAGAGAGCATAATAGCATACAGTATCAAGATTCTCTGTGTATTTTCCATCTTTGTTCGTTTTATTTTAACCTCTATTTTGTTTATTTTTACTTTTAACTTTTTGCTTTTTGAGATAGGTTCTCTGTATCTTTGACCTGAAGTAACTCTGTAGACCAGGCTGTCCTTGAACTCTCAGAGATCTGCCTGTCTCTGCCTCCCAGGCATTGGGATTAAAGGCGTGTGCTACCACACCTTGAAATCACAGAGGTCTATCTCCCTCTGCCTACCAAGTGTTGGGATTAAAGGTGTGTACCACATACAACAACTCTCTTCCTTTTTTTTTTGTTACTTTAAGAACTTTAAATTTTAGTCTGCATATATTTTTAACACACTTCAAACCATTTAGAAATTTTCTTTGTCTTTGAATCTCTCTTTACTGTATATCTCTCTTTTTCTGACCACACGAGCCTTTAAATTACTGAGCAATATGGGTAGGATTAAAGGCGTGGCTTTGCCAGCTAGATCCAGTCCATTCCTTAGCTTTCCAGCCTCTTGGCTGAGGTACTGGCTGTAGGCATGTTTACTGCCACAACTCTATGGCATTTCAAGGTCCTTGCCAGCAAGCGAGCTTCAGCAGCCTGTGCTTGCAAACCACACGAACCGCCTGCGTAAAAGAGTCAGAGTTTGCCCTGGCAGGACAGCCCAAAAAGCCGGCATTTTTAAACGGCGCAGCTTTTTTCCTGCTACGGCTGAAAACCAAAAAGCATGCGTTCAGCTTTTCGTCAACACCGTTTAAGTGTTTCGTGGCAGGACCTCTTAATGAGCTGCAGGGTTTTGCAGCTAAAGCTGAGTCAGGAAGCTTCTCTTAGATGAGAGCGCTTTCTTGCCTCTAGCAAGCAGAATGCACCCAAGAAATTGTTGCTATCCAGAAAACATGCTTTACTCTTTCCCAAGCCTTTTCAGGCTTTCTGTGGATTCAGTTGTCCACGTGGGCACCATTTGTAGTAATAAGGGCGGCAGGGCTGCGTTCCCAGCACCCCGGCCGCCTGCCTGGCTAGCTTATGCCCGAAATAACAACACACAAACTGTATTCATTTAAACACTGCTTGGCCCTTTAGCTCTAGCACTTACAGGCTAATTCTCACATCCCGATCAACCCATCTCTAATAATCTGTGAGAACCGGTCTTACCGGGAAGATTCTAGCCTAGTCCATCCTGGGTCGGAGCTTCATGGCATGTGTCTGCCCGGGAGCGGGGCATGGTGTCTCTGCTCCAGCGAGCAGAGCTGTCGAGTCTGAGCTCACTTCCTCTTCCTCCCAGCGTTCTGTTCTGTTTACTCCTCCCACCTATCTTCTAACCAATAAAATGGGCCAAGGCAGTTCCTTTATTAGCCAATGACCTTCCTCCATCAGAGACACATATACATAAATTTAAAAAATGAATCATTAAAGCCTAAAGTTTGACATTGCAGTTTTTTGTAATATGCTGGCACTCAGATCTTGAATTATAATGAGAGATACAGCTGCTTTCCTCCTGGTGTGAGAAGAGGTCTATGTGAATAGTTTTAGAGCCGCGGTGTGACTTTCTTGTCCTGTTTGATCTTAGCCTTCCCTCAGCAGCATTTTCTGCTCTTTGCAAAGTAAACACCCGAGCCTCTGCATCAGGAGGCTCTGACATCTTTCTGTCCTTTCTTCTACCTTCTCTTCTTCTACCCGCTTATATGATTGAAAAAGCACACTGATTTCCCACGCACAGCATCCAAAGGGACCAGCAGAGTTAACCTAACAGCAGGGACAGAGAGCGTGTTCGGGGTCACTAGGGTCCTCCCTGCTTCCCTCCCATCAGCCTCTGGGGCTAGTGGCTACCCAGCCACTGCACGGGAACACCGAAGGTCGAACCGGAGCTGATGTGGCTCCTGCTTTGTCCATAGGTTCGGGAATGACCTCCATGTCTCAAATAAGCTGTTTGTGCTGGATGCGGGTGCGTCTGGGTCTAAGGACATCAAGGTTCTTCGGAATCACCTGCAAGAAATACGGAGTCAAATTGTCTCTGTGAGTACACATGGAGAGACCTGGACTCCACCGTGGAGACGCCAGCCTTGACCAAGGAGTTGACCCCACTGTACTGCCCTCACTTTGGTTTGATTTTCTGGGGGATAGGCTGGCAGTAGGAGCCAGGACTAAGGTCTGTATGCAAGTGATGTCCTCCTGTTACTCTGGGGGAGGCAGGAAGAGAGAGAAACAGACAAGGCAGTAGACGGAGGGTTGTTAGGGGCAACAGCCACCACTGCAGGATGTATCAAGTTCTTTACATATAACATCTCCTTTTATAAATTACACCAGCAGTTTTAGTCTGTTTGTTTTAGTATGTGTAACAAATTCAGAAAAGAAAAATAACCACTAACAAAAGTAACCAAAGGATGTGTGCTGACAGACGAGACCATATTAGACTGAGTTCACATCGTGGGTAAAATAGGAAGGGAGCGTTGTATTTTCCCCAAATGTAATAGAGTTCTACCCAGATTCTGAGTAGGGCGGAGGACATTGGGATGTTCATCTTGAAATTGAAATGGAAGAAGACAACAGGTTTCACAGGGTTATAATTAAAACCGCTAAGAGCAGCTTAGACATTGTCCTCAGAGGTCACAGTGTCCACAGACATTTGCTAGCAAACAGAGAAGCTGAGCCAAAGAGATGGCTGAGTCTGTAAGTGCTCCCTCTGTGTACAGCATGATGTCTGAATCCCTAGAATCCTTAGAAAAGCCAAGCATGTAAGGGCACACGTGTACCCCAACCCTGTGGGAAAGAGTGGGGGAGGTTAGAGGCAGGAGGATGCCAGAAGCTTGCTGGTCGGCTGCTTTGGTCAGTCAGTGAGTCCCAGGTTCAGTGAGGGACCCTTTGTCAAACAATGAGGTGGAGAGCGATTGAGGAATACTACTGGCATACACGTGTGCACAAGCGTTGCGAGCACATACAAGAACACATACATGTATCAAGAAGGGGGGAGAAAGAAAAAATATTATTTCATTTTAACAGAGAAAATGTGACTTAATAAACTGGCAAGTGGGTTGTCTGCTTGGGATGAACTAAGTTGGATGATCCCCAAAGTGGGTGACTCAAGCTTATCCGTGCACACATGTAGAGTAATAAATACCATGATGGGAATTCTGGAGAGTGTTTTTAAAATAACTCGGAACTTGGAGACTCCTTCTAAAAGTTTTCCAAGGAATTGTACCCCTTTGAAAACCAGTCTGTCTTTCCTCGTCAGAGAAAATCGTGCAGTAGAAAATAATGCATAGAGGAGGGAGGTGTCTGTGCCTGTGACAGATGGAGGATTCCCTAGAGAGAGACAGGAGTGCCATGGTGGGAAGGGCTGAACCAGCCTCAGGGAGGTGCCCAGTGCCCTGAGTGAATGTGCACTCGTCTCTGGCCCAGTGGTGCAACCCTGTACTCTGTCCTCTTCGGACATCCCTGCCTCCCATAGCAAACACACCAGCCTGTGCCTCACAGAGCCTTGCCTTCCTGTTGTGGTGGCACCGTGTCTCAGTCGCCATATGGGGGTGGTCTGGAGGCCTGGCCCCACAGATGGGGACAAATACTCGGGAAAGAAACCAGGTCTCCTCCCAGATCTGGAGCAAGGCGCCTGTCCCTCGTGCACAGGACGCCTTTGAATTCTCTGGGCGTGACTCTGTCATCACCAGCCACCCTCCAAGTCCAAATGAACTGTCTCTATCCTGGGCAGTTTTTCTTTTTCTTTTAAATTGTTTTCATTTTTTTCTATTTTATGTGTATGAACGTTTTGCCTGCATGTTGTTTTCGTTCACAAAGATCAGAAGACGTCAGATCCCCTGGAACAGCAGTTATGGGAGGTTATGAGCCACCATGTTGATGCTGGGAATGGAGTCCATTCCTCTGCAAGAGCAACAAACTCTCTAAACCCCAGAGCCATTTCTCCGGCTCCCAGTTCTGCTTTTTTTTTTTCTTTTTTAAATGAGGAGCGCATCTTAGGTGACATAAGATGTGATTTTGTGTCACTAGTAGTGTGACACCTCTGTGCTGTGTGGCTTCCCGTTAGGAGGCTGTGGGATTATATGAATGTGAGGCATGTTATAGCTTGGCTTGTTTTACCACCTTGGCTATCAAATCCCTCGTGCCTGATTATTAGATGATGCCTAGAGACAACCCTCGGTTAGCGATAGAGTCCTTCACTGAGTCAATAAAGCGCTGACTTCTCTGGGTATGCACTGCGTGGATAAGTGATGTCTCTCCTGGGCTCCCAGAATGTCAGCTGCACAGCGGCTAATCTGTCCCACCTGCCTGTGTAGGGCTGCCCTCCCATGACTCACCTGTGTGAGAAGATCATCTCAACGCTGCCCTCCTGGCGGAAACTCAACGGACCCAACCAGCTGATGTCGCTGCAGCAGTTTGTGTATGACGTGCAGGACCAGCTGAACCCCCTGGCCTCTGAGGATGACCTCAGGCGCATCGCGCAGCAGCTGCACAGCACGGGCGAGGTGAGGGCTGAGGGTGGGCGAGCTCCCGCTGCTAGAGGAGAAAGGACCCTGCTACCTGTGGCTTCTCATCCCACAAGGCTCTCTTCACCCTGCCAAGTGGTCGGAATCTGGGCCTGGTCTTTCTGGGTTTGAGGCTCTTTTGAGGGCTTGAACTAATGGCTCGCCTGATTTACCTACATCACAAGAATAGTTTTCTGAAAGCCAAGCAGCAGTGCAGATCAGAAGGAAACACACTGACCAGACTGACAGCAGGTCACAGGTGAGGGCGGTCAAGAGCCTGGCTCTTCTTTATGTAAGTCTGCTTACAAGGAGCAAGGTTTGGGAGGTTCTCTATTTTAATTGACAGGTTTAGGTTATGTAAGCTTTGGCTCAATGTGAATGTCCCTTCCCATGATGCACCTGATTTTTGTCATGTGCATGCCCAATTATGCATAGGTATAATATGATAAATGAGGCTTTTTTTTCCTGACACAGTTTTTCTTATTGTTTTTGCATCAAAACTGGTTCAGGCTGGGTCTGGCTCTCCTACTATTACACCCTGACTTGAGTAGATTGAATAGAATATGTTTGATGGTTGTTAAAAGGAGAGACTTATTCCATTGTTCAGTGTGTGTGTGTGTGTGTGTGTGTGTGTGCTCGTGTGTGTGTGTGTGTGCATGCATGCCTGTGCATGCATACACTCATGTATGTGAGTAGTTTGATAGACATTGGGGTCCTAGAATGTTAACAGACTGCTAGGTGTGTTGTTTGGAGTGGAATGTGTGTGCATCTCAGGCTAACAGTTGTATTATTAGAAGCGAGATGTATGCAAAGCTCACAACAGATAGGAGCAATTCCTTTCTATCAACGACTGGTCTGTTTTCTTTGGTTTGCTGCTGTCTTCTAGGCCCCATTAGTTAGCACTCTTGTCCTGGGCCACTGGGTCTCTCTTGCCCCCTCAGCCACCTACTAATTCCCTTTTCCTCCTGGCAGCTCTAGGCTGGCTGCTGTCAGGGAACTGAGAGGCCCTGGCTGTGGACATAGTCCTGGGGTGACAAATACTAAGAAAAACCCATGAGGTGCCATCATGACTGTGTCTGTGGACAGGAAGACACTCTAAGTCAGGACCCCTCAGCAAGCACACCCACCAAAAATGACAGAAATTGACTCTCAACTGCATGGCACTTAGCCCAGTATGGAAACCGTCCTGACTGCATCCTGCATGCCTGTCCCCAGAAAATGGGGGCCATTGCCTCCTCCTTCCTAGGAAGTCTAGTGGCCACATGAGCTAGGCTGTGTCCAGAGCAGCAGCAGCAATTATTAACAATTAAAAGCATCTGGGGATATCGAAAACCGCTGAGGCCATTGGTTTTGTCAGCTTGCATTTGTCTGAGTTGTGGGGTGCCACCTCAAGGCTTCCATTTGAGTGGTGTGGGTGTCATGTCAGGGTCTGCATTTGTCTGAGTGGTGTGGGTGTCATGTCAGGGTCTGCATTTGTCTGAGTGGTGTATTCTTGAAACGAATACTGAATCTAGAGCCAGTGGCCCGGAAGGACCTCAAACAGTAAGGCCAGCTGATTGGCTGACTGACTAGGCGTAATGTAAAGTAACCGAATGCAAGGAAGAAGACAGGAACAGGGTGAAGGCATTTAGATGTTTAGACATAAAAGGTGGCTTTCCCATGAGAATAAACTTTCTACTTTGATAGGATACTCTTACCTCCTAGTTTTTGACCAGACATTTTCAAAGTCGCGATGTAGGATCTCCTCTCCCCTTGACCCTGAGACTTTAGGAAACGAAGATGGAAGAGAAAGAGAAAAGGAAAGGAACAGAGATGGAAGAGAGAGAGAAAAGGAAAGGAACGCTCGTGGTGGGGCCAGTTCTACGAGGCTGAATCCTTAAGTCTGGTTATGAACTACTAGCTCCTTAGGAGGAGAGAAGTTAGTTAGGGCGAAATGGTAAAGGTAAAGGCCCTGTCTCCTCTGGAGAAGTTAAGTCTGAGGCTCAAACATGAAGTCCCAAGAAGCTGCACTAGGGCAGTGGCGCCCCATGGCCAGCAGGTGGAGCCAGAGGCACCTGCACTGAAAGCCCACCTGGGAACGCCATTATTTTTAGACTAACCTTTAAGGGCCAGGAAGGAAAAGGTGATTTCTGGCTTGGCTTTGCTTTTTTTTTTTTTTTTTTTTTTGTATATACACACACACAAAAGTTTTTGTTGTTGTTTTTAAGTGTCTTTAAGCCTTATATTGTTTTAGTATGTTAGTTGCAATTTTCTAGACCTTTTCTTAGAAAGTTCCATCACTATGGAAGCTAGGCATCATGGGATATGCTTGTAATCCTAGCCCTCAGAAAGCTGAGGCAAGAAGATGAAGAATTCAAGTCCAGCCTGGGCCACACAGTAACAAACAGAAAGATACTACCACAAAACCACACCTTCTCAACTGGCATTGAGCCAGTCTTTATATTCTGCTTCCTTTGCCTCCTTTCTCTCACCTTTTAAAATTTATTGTGCCATACTTCATTGTAAATCATTGCCTGTCTCCATGCAAAGCTCAGCAAAACACATGATCACAGTCCTGTGTTCATATGTACACAGCCCTGACTCAGGACAGTGGCTGAGTTTACGGTCTTCGTCCAAGGGTCTCCATTTGCCCGGTAATCTCTTTTGATAGCTTCCTTTATTAATTGTGGGCTTTCCTAGACCCGGGTCCCAGCAGAAGCCAGTCCTTTTGTCTTCTCGTCTCACTTTCTTTCCTCGTCTCCCGCCAGTGTTTATTTCTTGCTTTGGGTTGTTACTACTTTCACCTCCGTCTTTACATACTTTGGATTTTTCCCTCCATGGGCCACGTTTCTGGGAAACGCCCCTCTGATGTTCCTGAACCACCTTAGGGCAGGGCTCAGGGGTGGCTTTAGAGATGGATCCACGCTGCAGAGTGTGGATTCCCCCTCTGGCCCGGGTGCCCTTTCCCTCTGGTGACTTTAAGTTGTCGCCTCCGGCAGATCAACATCATGCAGAGTGAGACGGTCCAGGACGTGCTGCTGCTCGACCCTCGGTGGCTCTGTACCAATGTCCTGGGGAAGCTGCTCTCCGTGGAGACCCCGCGGGCCCTACACCATTACCGGGGCCGTTATACCACGGAAGACATACAACGCCTGGTCCCCGACAGTGATGTGGAGGAGCTACTACAGATACTGGATGCCATGGACATCTGTGCCCGGGACCTGAGTAGTGGGACTATGGTGGATGTTCCCGCTCTGATCAAAACAGATAGCCTGCAGCGCTCCTGGGCGGATGAGGAGGATGAGGTGATGGTGTACGGTGGGGTGCGCATCGTCCCCGTGGAGCACCTCACTCCCTTCCCCTGTGGCATCTTCCACAAGGTTCAGGTCAACCTGTGCCGGTGGGTCCACCAGCAGAGTGCCGAGGGTGACGCCGACATCCGCCTGTGGGTGAGCGGCTGCAGAATCGCCAACCGAGGCGCCGAGCTGTTGGTGCTGCTGGTCAACCACGGCCAGGGCATCGAGGTTCAGGTGCGTGGGCTGGAGACGGAGAAGATCAAGTGCTGCCTCCTGCTGGACTCGGTGTGCAGCACCATCGAGAATGTCATGGCCACCACCTTGCCGGGGTTGTTGACAGTAAAGCACTACCTGAGCCCCCAGCAGCTGCGGGAACACCATGAACCGGTCATGGTCTACCAGCCCCGCGACTTCTTCCGCGCTCAGACCCTGAAGGAGAGCTCCCTTACCAACACCATGGGAGGGTACAAGGAGAGCTTCAGCAGTATCACCTGCTTCGGGTGTCACGACGTCTACTCACAGGCCAGTCTCGGCATGGACATCCACGCGTCAGACCTGAGTCTGCTGACCCGGAGGAAACTGAGCCGTCTGCTTGACCCACCCGACCCCATGGGGAAGGACTGGTGCCTTCTGGCCATGAACTTGGGCCTCCCAGACATGGTGGCCAAGCACAACATCAGCACCAGGTCGCCTAGGGATTTCCTTCCCAGCCCAGCGCATGCCTTGCTGCAGGAATGGACCTCCTACCCCGAGAGTACGGTCGGCATCCTCATATCCAAACTCCGGGAGCTGGGGCGCCGAGACGCTGCCGACTTCTTACTGAAGGCCTCCTCCGTGTTCAAGATCAACCTTGATGGCAATGGCCAGGAGGCCTACGCCTCAAGCTGTAACAGTGGCACCTCATACAATTCCATTAGCTCGGTGGTGTCCCGGTGAGGGCAGCCTTGGCTTGGGCAGGGCCTTTATGGACTGAGATGCAAGGGTGGTGGTGGTGGGGCTCCCCATCCTTCTCAGTACATTCCTTCTGCTTCTGAAGACATCCCCCCCATCCTGTTCCTTGCTTCCCTACCTCCATTCCCCTCCCTCTCACGCATCCCCCAGTCAAGAGCAGACCACATGCTTCGCTTTGGCCACGCGGGAAGCTAGCCCCCCTCCTGTCAGTGTTTTGGACTCCATCTCTCGTTCTCTAATACCTTGCTTCATATTCATAATTTTATTGGAATTCCAAACTTTTCAATGAAAAAAATTTAAAGTTCCTTACCAATTATCCTTTTTTAAAAAAGAAAAAGAAAGAAAGGAGCAGACATTTATCCACAATGTGTATTTCTTACCTTTTCTCTGCTGTAGCAGCTCCTCAGCCTATCTCTTTTATATTTGTAGGAGAGGCTCCCATGCCTGGACCCCACTGTATGATTTATAAACAGACAGTATGTGAGTGCCTTTTGCAGAAGAGAGTGTGTTGAAATCGTCTGAGTCAGCCCGGCGCTGTCACCAAGGAAATGCTACCTCTCTGTCCCTTGCTGTGCGCTGATCATCGCCAGAGGTGCTTCACTCTGAGTTGTTGGTTTTGGTTTGGTATTCTTCCCCCCCCCCTTTTTTTTTCTAGGGAGGGGGCTCTGTGTTTCATTTGGCAAGGAAAGAGGAAAAAGGAATCCTCCCCCCAGAGTGTTCATGGCCAGTGTTGCTGTAAGAAGACATCTTTTAAGTTGCTTTTGTTAAGACATCCATGTGAACATACATGTACATGAAACCTACCGACCGTCATGCCTCACCGCTCCCTCCCATCTCAGGTAGAAGGTTGACACAGTGTAGGGTTATGGAGACCCGTGTTAAGAATTCCGAAGACCCCAGCTCATAATCTGTGGCAGTCCGTTGTCATTGGCGCATAGCAGATGGGTCCTATGTTGAGATCCTGGTTTGATCACTTCCTGTACTTGAAGTCTGAAAGAGAAAGAAAAGAGAAGAAACAAGTTTTCTTGGGGTGATTGAGATTGTGATCGAATTCTAAATCACTATGAAGGAACATGTTTTAATTCTGTCCTGAGAAGCATGTTACGTTACCGTATCATCTGTACATATATATATGCACTATGTATATACATATATATTAATACTGGTATTTTTACTTAATCTATAAGATGTCGTAAAAGAATTAAGTTTGTTTTTTTTCTTTTGTTTTATAAATAAACTGTTGCGTATTGCATTTGATTGGTTAGTCCTTGATTCAGAAGAAGTTGTTCTCTCTTAAGTTTGGCTCCCAGTGTTCTGTTCCACGTCACCAACTAATCTAGAATGCAGACAATCTAACTAACCTTCAGCCCTTGGAAAGCACTGTGCTTGGTCTAAGTGCTTCTTTATTTATAAAATTAGATGACATGGTCCTTAGGACGGAGGTCCTTGTCTTCGGTGAATCCTTTGGCCAGAGTTGAACCAGGAAGATCCTCTGAAAAGATGTCAAGGAGTAACCATTACCTTTTTTAATAGCTGGCATCTGAGATGCTTCCCCAAAGATCCATAAAGGTTTGGGTCCCCATCGTTGCACTACTGGAAGATGCCAGAGCCGTTAGCCTGTGCCTAACTGCATGTGTAGGTACGTGCCTGTAATCCAACCACGTAAGGGGTACAGGCAGGAGGATTAGAGGCTCAAGGTCACCATGGACACTTAAGGAGTCAATGCCAGCTTCAGCTACTTGAGATCCTTCCTCAGCTGGTGAAAGAGCTGGAGGACAGTTGAGTGAGGAAGAGAGCTTGTTCCGCAAGCGTGAAGACCCGAGTGGGAATCCCTAGCAACCACTTAGCCAACCCCAGCACTGAGGATCAGGGGCGGGTGCCCTCTGCATGTGTCCCATTATGGTCTCCCATCTTAGCACGTGACCAGAACAGTGGAGCCAACCGACCATGCACCCAAACTTCGGGATCCACAAAATAAATCTTTACTCTGTATAAGTTGAGTATCTTAGTTATTTGCTAAGGTAACAGGAAACTGACGGACACACACCTTCACAGACAAGAGGGATCCTTGGGAAACTCTTGGGGTACCCCTAGTGGAGGACTTAGCCATTTCCCCCATCTGTCCCAATGATTGCTTGCTGGAGACAATGTGCCCCCAGTTCTGAGTCAGAAGGGAGTGAGGCCTTGCATGGGTGTGGAGTGATCAGGAGAGAAGCTGTGTAAGTGCTTCTAATGCAGCGTGGGCCTGCCCTGTCGGAAGACCAGTCACTCTCAAGTGCACGGGGTGAGGGGAACTCCGCCAGGCACTCAAGGCTTCAGTGGCCGTCCACAGCCTTGTAAGGAGTACGGGGTGGGAATACTGGCTATCTATCTTTGTGGGAAGATCTTGTTCCATCCAAAACACAGAATGTAGAAGTAAATTCAGCTTAGGGATGAGCTCCTTCCGACACACTCCTTAGGGTCTGGACCTAATGGGACGAAGAGAATTAGACAAAATGGCACACTTCAGTCAGTCGTGACTTGGCTAAAATCAGGTCGTCTAACCACAGGTGACCCTGTGCATGGCTCTGCCTCATGTGGGTCCTTCATTTTCTTCCCCATTTGTTTCCCTTTATTGAACATAGACTCTTTTATACAATATATCCTGATTATAGTTTCCCCTCCCTCTATCCCTTCCAGTTCCTCTCCAGCTCCCCTCCCCTCTGATTCCAGTCTTTCACTAGAAAAGAACAGGCTTCTAAGAGACAACAACCAAATGTGACAAAATCAAACATAATAGGATAAAGCAAAAAAAAAATCATATTCAAGTTGGATAAGGCAATCCAACAGAAAGAAAAGAGTCCCAGGAACAGGCACAAGAATCAGAGATTCATCAGTTCTCACACCCAGGAGTCCCAAAAAGCACTAAGCGGAAAGCTACAATCTCTATGCAGAGGACCTAGTGGAGGCTCATGGTGGCCCTGTTGGCTTCAGTCTCTGTGAGCTCAGCTGCGCCTTGCTTAGTTGGTTCAGCGGGCCTTATTCTCCTGGTGTCCCCCATCCCCTCTGGCTCTTACACTCCTTCCATCTCCTCCTCCACAGGGTTCCCTGGGATCAGAGGGGAGGGATTTGATGGAGACATCCCATTTAGACTCTTTCTCCACATAATGTCTCTCTGTGGACCTCTGTTATCATTTCCTGACTGCTGCCAGAGGAAGCTTCTCTGTTGATGACTCAATGAGACATAGTATATACTTTATATTGATTATTATCAGAGGCCTTGGGTACCAGCTTTGGTACCCCTTCAGGACTCAGAACTAACTGTAAGTCTATGGCAGGCGACGATCTGAGGGTAAAAAATTAACTCAAGTACATTATCTCTGCATCTTCTTTATTTTTCATGCAAGGGGAGAAAGTGGAGTGAAGGGGGCTGGAGGAGAGGAAGAATAAAAAGAAGAGTAAGGGAAAGAATAAGGAGAAGAAAGAAGGAGAAGAAGGGGAAGAAGTAGAAGTAGCGAGAAGAAGATCTCTGGCCCATCTAGTCTCTGGTTCTTGGTTGCCCAAGCAGTGTTGGGAATCTTCATTTCATGGAGTGGGCCCTTAAGTCAGATCAGACATTGGTTGGCTACTCCCACAACTTCTAGTCCACCATTGCCCTAACATATTTTGCAAGCAGGAAAAAATGTATGTCAAAGGTTTTGTGGTTGGATTGGTATTTCTGTTTTTCTTTTGGTAGCCTTCAAAGCACCTTCCCTCACCAAAGACACAACAACATAGTGGTGAAGGTTTCATATAGGCCCTAGCTCAACTTCTCCATGTTCAGCGAGTCTGTGTGAGTGTTGTCCTCAGCAGTGGGGCCCACAGTCAGTTTAGGAGAGCAACCCCTTATCTTCGCAACAGCCCGGGTTTTGGGATTTTTATGTAAACCCCATTGGCCAACAATTCAATTGAATGCAACCAAGTTCTGGTACTGAAAGACTTGTGTAATGACAAGAGATGGCCTTTTGGTGCCTGTTTCTCCCATTATTAGGAGACCTCATTAGGATTACCTTCAAATATTTGAGGAAGTTTTCAGTGCACTGCTTTCCATATCATCCCTCAAATGCCCCTTAATTCCAGCTGTCTCTCCCTGAATTCCCTCTCAACCCTATCATTTCCCTTCCCCCTCCCCACCTGATCCTCCCGTTCTTGTCTCACCTGCCCCCAGTCCACCTGTAAAGTCTGTTCTATTTTCATGTTAATCCTTTAAATATGGTACCTGCACATACATTAGCATGTATACCTTGAGTATAAACATGTACATGCATGTTAAGTGTAAGTTTGTATATATGTGCAGAAACATGTACATAACCACCTGCGTGTGCTAAGTCACATGTGTGTAGGAATAAGGGTGTATGTGTATGTCTATATGTAGACGTGTTTGTGTTTGCATTTATGCACATGTATGTAGAAAAGAATTCTCTGCCCCCAGAATCTGGCTGATTCAGCTGTGTGTACGTCTTCTCACTGTGAGCAGAGAGAGCAGCAGGGGCCCTGGTTCTGAGGCATCAGCATGGCATCCCTTGTCTCCCACGAGGAGCATCCCATACAGGCTGCTCCTCCAAATCACTTGGGTTTGTGATCAGTACGCTCGCACTCACAGTAGAGAGATGAGAGCTGGCCTGGAGGTGGGGCAGGGGTCCGCGCAGCTGCTGCTGCGGCTGTGTACCTGCCCCTGCCCCTGCCGAAAGCGAGCCCAGTACTAGCCCTGCCTGGGGCAGGGGTGGGCCCTTTGGCTGTCAGGGCATCTCATGCAATGAGAAGTTGCTGCTTGTCTCCCCTTTCGGCCATTTTTTGACGTTGTCTGTATGGTTGCGATGATACGGACTGTATGCTTTCTTTGCTGCTGTTTTTAAACATCCCACCATGACACAGCTCCTTTTCAATGGCCTTAGAAGCCTCTTAGAAACATTAGTGATGACTCTGGAGCGCTGTAGTCACCTGCTGTAACACCACAGCATTTCCTGCTGTTATGAGTACAGCTTCCGCAAACGTCTTTAGGGACATTTTTATTTTTGGCATGTTTTTCTTTTGTGGCTCTGGAGATAAAATCCAGGGCCTCATGCATACTAACAAATGCTCACTTGCGCACACCCTCAGCCTTTTTAACGTATTTTGAACCGCACATAAAATATAAATATATGGCTTGTTTTTACCTCTGTCATGTAATAATTAGCTCTAAGGAGAGAAAGTGTTTCTACCAATCCAAGAACGGTGTGTTATACGCTGCTTCCCCAAGAAAAACCTTATTTTATTAACTCTTAATAGCTGGCACTTTATAATTCTCTCTGGCTACCCCTTTTTTGCTACACACAATGGATTTTGTAATATTTCACCGTTAGCAAGATCGGGAAGGAAATTCAGTATCCGCACTGTCGTGGCTATTGTAGTTTTTAAGAGCTTCTCGCTTCAGTACCCATTTATTTATGAAGCTACATGGAATTTTAGGACTTTTATCAAATTTAGAGGATTACTGAAGTTTTGTTTTTCTCATATATAAGCTGTAGATTTGCTGGCATTTCAATTTCTTTTGTTCAGTGACTTATTTTATTTATTTCTGTATTTACATCATTCTTCCCTCATTCTTTTGCTAATTTCTCCTGTACACCCACATTCCTCAAATTCGTCATCTCTTATTCTTTAATATCATTGATCTATATAGGTATATACATATATATCACATATACATATACATGTAAATTTATAAATACATCTGCTAAGTTGCTTCCATTAGGGATTGGATAACTATCGGGGTCTCATAGAAGAAGACTGATTCTCCCTCTCTCAGAAGCCATTAATTGCCTGGAGCTCTTCGTCTAGGGACCTAGTGAGATTGTTCCATCCCCACTGGGATGTCAGCTGGTGTTGTCCTTGTTCAAGTATTACTTAGGCAGACATTCTTATTATTGTGTATGTCAGCATAAAGCATGTGTGTAGGCATACATCATGGCACGGGCATGAAGGTGGGTGTCAGACAGCGCCCTTGTTAAGTCAGTTCTCTCCTTCCACCGTTATATGGGTTCCAGGGGTCATAGTCGGGTTGGCACGCTTGCATAGTTTCTCTATCTCTGGAGACATCTTGCTGGCCCTAAGTTATTTCTTAAGTGATTGCACATAAGCATTAATAGTTAAACATGGGGATTCCTACCTAACATTGCATGGTAATAAATCATGTTGCAAATGGACATTTGGTTGGATAATATTGCATGTCATTTTTAATGTTTATTCTTAGCTCAGTGA